TTGCTGGATCATATGATATTTATATTTTGAATTTTTTGAGGAATCTCTGTACTGTTTCCCATAGTGGCTGTGCCAATTTACATTCCCACCAACAGTGCACCCACTTCTCCACATCCTTGCTAGTGTTTATGTCTTATCTTTTTGGTAACAGCCATTCTAACAGGTATGAGGTGATAATCTCATTGTGGAGTTTTTTCCGTCCCCAAAGCCCCAGTACATAGTTGTATATCCTAGTTGTAAGCTGTTCTGGTTCTTCTATGTGAGCTGCTGCCACAGCATGGCTACTGACAGATGAGTGGTGAGGTTCCATGACCAGAAAGCAAACCCAGGCTGCCAAAGCAGTGAGCACCAAACTTTAACCACTAGGCCATCGGGGCTGGCTCTCATTGTGGTTTTGATTTGCAGTTCCCTGATGATGTGTGATGGTGAGCACCTTTTCATATGCTTGTTGGCCATTTGTATGTCTTCTTTGGAGAAATGTGTATTCATGTCCCTTGTTCATTTTTTTTAAATCAGGTTATTTGATTTTTTGTGGTTGTTGAGTTGTGAGAGTTCTTTGTATATTCTGAATATTAACCCCTTATCAGATATATGATTTGCAAATATTTTCTCCCATTCTGTAGGTTGCCTTTTCACTCTGTTGATTGTGTCCTTTGATGCATAAAATTTTCTGTATTTGATGATGTCCCAGATGTCTATTTTTGCTTTTGTTGCCTGTGCTTTTTTCTGTGTGTGTGTGAGGAAGATCAGCCCTGAGCTAACATCCGTGCTAACCCTCCTCTTTGCTGAGGGAGACCGGCTCTGAGCTAGCATCTATTGCCAAGCCTCCTCCTTCTTTTTTTCCCCCCGAAGCCCCAGTAGATAGTTGTATGTCATAGCTGCACATCCTTCTAGTTGCTGCATGTGGGACGCGGCCTCAGCATGACCGGAAAAGCGGTGCGTCTGTGCGCGCCCGGGATCCGAACCCGGGCCGCCAGCAGCGGAGCACGCACACTTAACCGCTAAGCCACGGGGCCGGCCCCTATTGTTGCCTGTGCTTTTGATGTTATATCCAAGAAATTATTGCCAAATTTGATGTCATGAAGCTTTTCCCCTGTTTCCTTCTAGGAGTTTTATCGCTTTGGGTCCACCTGTTCTTGACAATCCAGGCTCCTCTCCAGGGGCCCGGCATCCTGAGCTGGGTGCCGGGCTCTCAGGGAGCTGCTTTTTGTGCAAGAGAGCTGCCGAGCCGTCTCCTTCCTAGCTCAGGTTCAGACAGTGCTCACCACCCACACCCGCGGGAACGGTGTTCCTCACGCCTGCGCTCATACTTGGAGCATGTCTGCGACACGCCACCTCTGTCTCACTGGTGACGTGGCGTGCTAGCTTCTGTCTCCACAGGGGTCATGGCAGGCCACCATTCTCTTTGCTGCCCTAGAGACCTTGGCAGGGGGACCTCTTAGAGACACCTGGACACTGTTGGACTTTGAATTTCTCTAACATTGAATCAGAAAATGTGGTCCTCGCAGGTGACGTATGACTGGACTGAGCCCTGCTTCCCCCCCCAACACGCGATGATGGTGAAACAGAGCACACTGTAAAACTGGGTGCAGAGGGCAGGACGGGACCCCACAGCAGGCTCCTGCCCTCGGCTGTGTCGAAAGTAGGGGAGGGTCCTTCCGTGGGTTGGAGGGAATGTGCAGAGGAAGCCAAGGAAACAGGAAAGGATAGACTCCACTTAAAACAAGCAGGTGGGAATGGGAAACAGAGCCACCACTGCAGAAATGTCAGGCGGCTCCTCAGAAAGTCAGACCCAGAGTCAGCACACGACCCAGCAGTTCCTAGGCAGGTACCCAAGAGAAAGAAAAATGTATCCACACCAAGACTCACACACAGTGCTCATAGCAGTGTTATCCATAATAGGCAGACGATGGGAACAGCCCAAGTGTCCATCAATTAATAAATGGATAAATAAAATGTGATCTCTCTACACAATGGAATATTATTCAGCAACAATAAGAATGAAGCACTGGGGCGGGCCCAGTGGTGCAGTGGTTAAGTTCGCACACTCCGCTTCAGCAGCCCAGGGTTCGCAGGTTCAGATCCCGGGCGCAGACCTATGCACCACTTGTCAAGCCATGCTGTGGCCATGTCCCATATGGAGTGGAGGAAGATGGGCACGGATGTTAGCCCAGGGCCAACATTCCTCAGCAAAAGGAGGATTGGCAACCGATGTTAGCTCAGGGCTGATCTTCCTCACAAAAAAAAAAAAAAAAGGAATGAAGTGCTGACACCTGCTACAACGTGGATGCACCTTGACAACATTGGGCAAAGTGAAAGACACTAGTCACAAAGGCCACGTAGTGTATGAGTCCATTCATATGAAATGTCCAGAACGGCAAATCCACAGAGACGGAAAGTGGATTAGTGGTTGCCAGGGCCTGGGGGAGGGGGAATGGGGTATGCGGTTTCTTTTTGGGGTGATGGGAATGTTCTAAAATTGATGGTGGTGATGGTTACACAGCCCTGTGAATATACTAAAAACCACTGAATTGTACACTTATATGGTGGTTGAATGATATGGTGTGTGTTATACCTCAGTGAAGCTGTTGTGAGGAAGCGACCTAGACCAAGGGTGACAGGAAGCTACAGGAGCCCCCACTTGCTTGCGTGAAGCACAGGAGCCACAGCCCAGGGGCACGGGCGCCAGACCGGGAAAGGGGGCCTGGGCCGGAAGCTGTAGGCTGCAGGCTGAGCCCTGCACTGTGGGCAGCCGGAATGCAGACCCCGGTCCTGGGACTGGAAGGACACTGCTCACCAGTCCAGGGAAGCCAGCAACCTGGCGTGGACGCCATCCCAGACCCCTCCACGCCCGACCACCTGGGCGCCTTTGTCCCAGTTCTTGAGAAGCACAGACTCAGGCTGCTCACAGACACCAGCGGGTTCTAGCTGTTGAAGAAAATATTAGAAAAGATAGACAAACCCCCTGACACAGTTAGAAAGAAATACCTCTGACAAGACAAGCTATGGGAACAGAGCCAACATCCAAAAAAGCAAAATGCAAAGTGAAAACGGGAGAAGACTGTACACATAAGAGACGTGACAAATAATAAAGTCTGTCGTGAGCAACAGCCTCCTGGGGCACTTAAAACCCGTCACGGAAGGGGCAGGTTTCTGGAAGAATGTTGGTCCCACCAATGTTAATGCAGGAGAGATGGGAAAGTGAAGTGGACTCATAACCATGAAAGCGACCAAGTGCTCTCGCAAGGCGTCCTCTCGCAGTAATCCAGGCCCACGTGCCTTCAGGGGACCACTGCCGCCTCATGGCCAGGAGCCCAGGATAATGGAGAGGAGCTCCTTCCGCTCGCCTCAGTGATGGGTCCGTACCGTTTCAGCAGCGAACACAGACGGGAAGAGCCTAGCTGGTCTGTCCGCGAGTGTCCTTTGCTGGCGGACTAAGGAGCAAGACCCTGGCTCAGCTGGTGTGGGAAAAACTTCTCCAAGTTCAGCACCTCCTTACCGCCAAGACTCCCCTAAGCGAGGAATACAGAAGAAACTATTTAATGTGGCCACAGGGAGATCCTGCAGACCTGTGGCCGCTGTCTTATCAGGGAGACCTAGCTGGGCCGGGACAAGGGGGAGTGTAGGGCAGGGCAAAGAGGTGCAGGTCATTAGGAAGAGGGCGCTGTGCCCGAGTCATGGAATGCACTGTCTGTACTCGGGGTCATAAAAAGAAAACAAGGTCATTATGTCTACAGATCCTTTGAGAAACGGCATTGTCAGCACCTCTCCCTGAGGCCCAGGCGGGGGCTCTGTCCTGCCCCTGGCAGCACTGGGGAGGTGCGACCCCACACCGGGCACACAGCCCCCTGCACCTCCTTCCCAGCTGAGAACCACACCCATGTCCCCCCCACGCCATCGCAAGCCGTTCCCCTGCATGAGCAAGCATGGGCCTGGCCTGGAAGTTTCCACCATCGGAGCCACGGCCAGTCCCCTCTCACCGCTCCTGCTGCCCAGGCCATCAGGTGGGTTCCTTGGCCAGCCCTGCCCAGGAACCCGGGGACTGGTGGAGCCCACATCTACCAGCTGCCCCTGTCCAGGGGACTGTGTCCCTGCCAGCACACTGTGTTGTCTGTTTTCACCTCAGACCACGGTGTCTTCCAGCTCTGTGGCCTTGGCAGTGGGGAGTCACTGTGGTCAGACCAGCACTCCCAGTGAGCATGGGGGACCCAGAATAGGGTCTGCTTGCCAGCTGGAGGCTGGTCAGGGGCTGTGGAGCTGGGCCACTGGACTCTGGTGGGCTTGGGAGACTCCCAGGCTGGGGATGGGCTGCCTGCAGCCTCGCTCTGCACGCCCCTTTCTGCCCCCGTTGCCCCACCTGTGCCTTCTGCAGCGGCAGCAGCCTGCAAACCCACCCAAGGCCACGGCGCCTCCCCTCCTGGCCCAGATCCAGCCTCAGTCTGGGAGTCGTTTCCCCTTCCCTGTCCTCCTGGTCCCCAGCCCACTGCTCACCGTTTCCTTGCTCAGCGCGGAAGGCTGTGTGGGAGGAGTGGGCAGCCCGTGTGTGTCCTGCCTCCAGCGGCTGGAGGCTGGGTCCCCCTGCCTGGGGCCGCGAGGGACCATCGGATCTGCCGGTCTCTGTGCTCATCCCGGCGGCCTTCCCCTCCCGCGCCCTGTGCTCCACACAAGCCCCTGCCCCGCAGGTGCCTCAGCGCTGCCTCCGCCGCCCCGCAGCCCGGCGCGGGCTCATGTCACTTCCACGTGGAGTCGGGGTCCTTGTTCCAGTCCTGCAGCTTCTCGCTGCCGTGGCCCCTGAGGGCACCGGGCTCCACCTTCTCCCTTCGTCAGGGCCAGCGGTGAGGAGCTCTGGATCTCATAGGACTTCCCACCCCACGGACCCTGCGAGTGGGGCTCATGGCCTGCCGCCCTCCCCAGGGCCCCCTGAGCTTGGGCCACAATGGGACAGCTCCTGGCGCGGATGTGTGCCCAGGGCCTGACCACCGTGGCCTGTCTGCCTGCAGGTGCCCGAGATTGTGAGCGTGCTGCGCTCCAAGCTGCAGGAGACCCGAGAGGAGCACATCTTGCAGGCCGCGCAGCACAGCGTGTACCTCCTGGCCTCCCAGCACCGCGCAGCTGTGGTGTCCAGCCTCCTGGGCAGCCCCCTGCCCTTTGACAGGTACCTGGTGCCCGCCAGCCTGCTGGAGTGGACAGGGCTGTGGCTGCCTGGGCTCTAAGCCGAGGCCCAGCCCAGACACCAGACTCAGGGCCTCTGCCCTCCTCTGCACCCCAGCTCTCCTGGGTGGGAGTCGCGAGTCCCTGGGGCCCTAGGCTGGGTGGGAGACAGGCCCTGGCTGTGGCTCGGCATGCTCTCCTGGGTGGGCCCGGCGCTGCCCGGCAGGCTCTCTGTCAGCCCCAGATGTAAGTGGGCGCCCTTGGTGGCTCTCGCAGGCTCAGCTGTCCGCTTCTCCAGGGCTTGTTCTCTGCGGGGCGTCGCATTATCTGTGAGCAGAGCCCGGGGCCGGGCCCCGTCTTGGAGCCAGGGAAGGGTCCTCGACCCCCATGCACCAGCATGTCCCCCCACCCACACTCCCAGCTCCCGAGCTCCCTGCAGCGACCCTTGAAGAGCAGGACTGCTCCCCGCCTGGGGCCTGTGTCCCTGTACTTCTCGTCCCCCACAGCCCTCTCGGGTCACCTCGACCTCCTGTGCGGAGGCCATCTGTGGTCATTGCCATGGTCCCGGCACCTCCAGAGAGGGGGGCCTGCTTTCCTGTGCCGTCCCCGTTGTGGGGAGACCCCGTGCAGGGCGAGGCACTGCCCTGTGACTCCTGTCAGCTCTGCTTTGACTCGGATGCTCGGAGGTGTGCCGTTTGGCGCCCGCAGTTTACACTTGATGGCGTCTCGTCTCTCCTGGGGAAGCGCCTCTGCTCTTGCTGATGCCTTTTGCAGGAAGGTGCGTTTTTGGTTAGTGCTTGCCCGGCGTCTCTCTCCAACGGCACTGGCAGCCTTCCTCTGGGCCCGCGCTCCTTCCCTGCTGGTGCGGTTGGGCCACATTCCCCGGCTCAGTCTGCGTCCAGCTCACTCTTCTTTGTTCTTCATCTTCTTTCTTGTCTCTTTTTCAACTTAACAGGGTCTATTTCCTAATTTCACTTTTGCCACTTGATTAGTTTGGAAGTAGTCATACGCTCTGCTTCTGTCCTTTTAGTGGTTGTCCTAAAAATCACCACCTGTGTGCTCAGAGGAAGCTGAGCTCGCGAGCGCCCCTGCAGGCAGCACAGGCCTCTGCGCACGGCCCCCTCCGTGCCTCCTGGTTTGTGTGTGCGTCTCTGCTTGCTGCCCAGCTCGTCATTATCACGAGTCCCTGATGCGGGGGGTGCACGGACCTGCCCACAGGCTCACCGCTCTGCTCTCCCCTCCTCCCTCGTTCACTGTCTGTGGGGGCATGGCTCACACACAGAAGCGCACCCGCCCCCAGTGGGCCCTCGGACTCCCCTGCTACGGGCCGTGGCCACTCCCCAGAGGGGACAGAGAAGGTGTCCAGCCCCCAGTAGGCTCTTGTGCGCCCCTCAGCTGAAACTCCTTGAAAGGTCACCGCTGTCTGACTGCTGTCACCAGAGATGCGTTTTGTCTGATCTCGAACTTGGGGTAAATGGAACCCCAGAATTTTCTTCTGGCTCCTTTGACACAACACGCTGTCTTCGGGGCGCACGGCACTCTTGTCATTCTCTTCATGGTGTGTGGTACTGCTGTGGGCACTACACTTTTATTTATAGGAGTGGAATTGTCCTAGGTCAGGGATTGGCACAATCCAGACCACCACCTGTTTTTGTACAACCTGTGAGCTAAGAATGGGTTTTACATTTATAAATGGTTAAAAAAAATCAAAATAATATTTCATGACGTGAAAATCATATGAGATTCCGATTTCACTGTCCCTAAGTGCAGTTTCATTGGCCCAGCACACCCATCCGTGTGCCCAGCGGAGTCTGTGCCTGCTTTGCTCCACCACAGCAGAGCTGCCCGGTGCGTGGAGACCATGTGGCACATATCTCCAAAGTTTGCTGGCCCTTGCTCTGGGTACAGGTGGACGGGGCCCCAGCAGCTGAGCCGTGCGCCCTCCCAGTGTCCCTGCCAGCACGCAGCATGTCCCGCCATCCTGGTGCACGTGTGTCTGTCCACATTCGCCACCAGGTCTTTGCTCCTCATTCTTGCGTCTCAGTCCCCGTCACTCCCTTCTACCTGCAAGGCCTCCTTCAGGATGTCCTTGGTGAGGCTGTGCTGGTGGTAAACTCTCCACTTCTGTTCTCTGAAAGTGTATTTATTTGGCCGTCCTTCTTGAATATTGTTTTTGTAGAGTTTGGACTTCCAGTTTGGCAAGTATTTTCTTTTAGTGCGTGTAGGACGCACTTGGTGGTTTTCCGGCTCCTGCAAGTCTAAACAGTGCTGCCATTTTAGAGGAGGTCGCTGGCTTTCCTCCGATGCACACACGCCGTTCCCCTGTGGGCACCCGCACTCCCGGGGGTGGGGTCTGGGTGGCTGCTTGCCTTCCTGAGCCTGTGAGTTAGTATCTGTCGTCAGTTCTGAACATTTTTCAGATTCTCTCTCTCTCCTCTCTTCCCGGACACCACTGAACGTCTGTTAGACCCTTCATGTCACCGCCTGCGTCTCTTGTTCTGTCTTCTCAGTTTCCACTGTGATCTTTCTCTGTGCTAGGATCTGGGTAATTTCTGCCATTTATCTTCCAGTTCGTTGTTTCTCTCTTCTGCTGTATCCAGGCTGTGCCAAATATGTCCACCGAGCATTGTATTACACGTCTCATTTCTAAAGGGGTGTTGGTTCTCTTTCAAATTTGCTGTATCTATTTTTAGAATTTCCAGTTCCCGTTGGATGTTTGTCACTTCTCTGTGAACACATCCAGCACAGCCGCATCCCTGTGTCCGAGCACCCGCTGCCCACGGGCTCTGTGAACCTCACTTACAGAGCCGACTTCACGTGTGCCTGGTTCTCTTTGGCCGCGTGCTGCTCACTGCTCTGGAAAAGTGATTTGTGGGTGCTCCCGAGGCCTGGGATGATGCTGCCTCCTCCAGAAAAGCATAGTGTTTGCTTCCAGCAGCTCCAAGGGGACCCCTCCCACCACCCCACCCCCGGCCCACTGTATGGCCAAGACCTTTTCCTTGTCCTTGATTACCAGCCCTGCTCACCACTCAGTAGCCTGTTTAAGGATGCACAGGGTCAGAGAAAGGAGTGAGTTCAGATCTGAGGACAGGATGCCATTTCCTGTCTGTCTGGAGCTGAGTCTGGGCACAGGTCTGGGGGTGTAGAGCCAGGGTCGGCAGTGGCCTCAAGGTGACTGTCCTCCCACCCTGCTCCAGCCACACCTGCACCCTGTGGCGGGCACTGGCCGTGGAGCCCAGCCTCGCTGCACAGGTCCTGGGGCTGCTCCTGGAGAGGATGAGCAGAGACGTCCCGTTCAAGGAGAGCCGGGCCTTCCTGCTGAGCAGCTCTCCCAGCCGCGTGGCCACACTGCTGCCCCTCGCGGTGAGTGGGGGCCCCATTCTCCCTTCCCGCTTTTCAAGGAGGCTGGGCAAGGGGCTGCGTCACTGCTAGAGGGAGGACCCCACAGGTGGCCTGGTTGCCACCCCATAGGCACCCAGCCGCTGACTGGGGCACCAGAGCCGGCCAGCTCGGAGCCCAGGCTCGTAAAGGCCCCGCAGGTGTTGGTCCACGAGGGAGAGCGCTCTGTTTCATCCTATGGAAAAAAAATAAACCAGCTTGGCAACGTTTTTGGCAGTAAAGCAGCTATGAGAATTTCCTCCTCCTCTCTGCTAAGACACCAAGAGCAGATGGTCAGAGGCCCGTCCCAGAGGCGGCCACACTGCCCCTGTGCCTGCTTCCTGCCCCAGAAGCCCGAGCTGGGCAGGGCTGCACCCCTCCTCCTGTCCACGCTCCTTCCCAGAACCAAGACCTCCAATGCGCACGGGGCGTACGCTGACGGGGCCTCAGGCTAGTGTGAGTCATGGGGTCAGGGCCCAGCCTTCGCTGTGGCCGGCCTCCTTAGAAACGGCCCCAGAGGGAGAGTGAACCTGAGGTGGCCCCTGTCCCCAGGCCACCTGTGCGCTACGCGAGGTCGTGTTGGCTCCGGCGTCTGGGCCCGCGGTGCTGGAGCTCTACCCGCAGTTGTTTGTGGCGCTCCTGCTGCGCGTCAGCTGCACCGTGGGCGTCCAGCTGCCCCGGACCCTGCAGGCCAAGGAGAGGAGGAGCGCCAGCTCAGCTCTGGACCCCAGGACCTTTGAGCCCTGCAGGTAAGCGTGTCTATGTCTGCTGACCCCAGCACCATCGTGTGAGCACAAGCGTGTGCGTGCCTCTGGTGTGTGCACAAGGCTGCCCGGCTCCTGGCAGTGAGGGAGAGGACAGGTGGGGGCGGCCAGGCGGTGGGGGCTTAGCCCAGGAGCGAGTTTGTGTCCAGGAGCTCCCCCTGGCGACGTCCGTGGGTGAGCTGTTCCTCTGGGAGCGTGGCCTCCCTGGCCGTCCCTTCTCGCCTCCTCCAGCAGGTCAGGGATAGGGACCCTGGGTAAGGCGGCTGCAAGTCTGTGGGCAGCGTGTGGCCACAGGGGCCTTGTGGGGACACTCAGGTAGGTCCAGAGCGGTGCTTTCTTTGGAAGGTGGAGCTGTGGGGAGGGTTTGGGGAGCAGGTGGGACCTGGAGTGAGCCCCTGCATACAATACTATGTTTGCAACCTCAGCCCTCAGCTCTGAGTTCTGGCTCTTTCTGCACTCAATCAGGCCCCCACCTTCCGACAGAAACTCTGCAGTGGCCTCGCTGCCTCCCCTGAGGGGCCTGCTCACCTGGGTCGGCCCCAGCCCTGCAGGGCGAGCTCGATGCCAGGCCCCCCACGCCATCAGCCTGTGCAGGCACCTTCCCCTCGGCTCTCACTGGGGTCTGGGGTCCTCTGGTCTCTGCCGAGTGGGTCCTGGGTCCTAGGGCAGGAAACCAGGGATGGGCAGGGTAGAGCCTCTTGCTGTGGGCAGTGGGCTCAGAGCTTCAGCAGCCTGGACATCTGCCTGCCCATTCTGGCCTCTGAGGCCATTCCTGGGCCCATCACGGTCGCACCTCAGGGCTCCAAACAGCCGCCTGGGGCCACAGGGTGAGCAGAGGAAGCTGTCGCCCTTGGGCCACATGCTGGCTGACCGTGAGCCCGGGCTGCCTCCCCACCCATCCCAGGCAACTGGGGTCGGATGTGTCCCTTGGCTGGGGACGCAGGGGGGACAGTGGCAGTTTGCCCCACCCCCACCACAGGGCTGCTCCACCCCAGGACCAGCTCGTAAACTCTAGCAGAGGCCGTGTGCCAGGGCCTGCCCAGCTCCACGCAGACCAAGTGGAAAATGTGAACAGACCAGCGGACACTGGCCTGCCAGCCCTGAGCCTGGCATGCCGGGACTCAGCTCCATGGCCTGTGAGCTGTGGGGGCTACAGACCCCACGCCACCACCCGGGACCCCTGGGCTACTAGCCCTGAGCTGGGACACGGGCAGAGCAGGCACAGGTCTCAGCTCTGAGAGAGGCCGTCAGCCGGCAAGTCAGACCCTGGCAAATCCCCATCCACAAAAATTCCGGGCAGCAGGGTGGACAGGCGAGGGGCCCCTCCTCACATGGCTTGTTCACACATTCCTGCACACCTGCGCCTCACCACTGGCAATCTCTTGAAGCCAGTCGAGAAGCCCCAGGGTGCTGGTGTCACCCTGGAGCGCAGCCTCTGGTCCAGGTGGTGCCTCAGCTGAGCCTCGAGGCCTGGAGCAGGGTGTGGAGCTCTGGGCCCTCACTTAGACCACAGCAACCGGCCAGAACTGGCTGTGGCTCCATGGGCCTAGGTCCGGGGGCCTGGCCCTGCCTGTGCTGTGGGGGACTCCTCAGTGGCACGCCATGGGCATCTGCCCACTGACCACGGTTGCCACTGTGGTTCTTCCTGTGGCTGTGGTCAGTGTGGGCTGCCTGACATCTGGGATGGCAGCCCCCATGGGGTCTGGGCCTTCTACTGGAATCACAGGGATCCTAGGACAGCAAGAGCTGCCTTCTAGTATTTTCTCTCTGGGGAGGGAGCCCCGGAGGGTGCGGTCTGTGGACGCTCAGTGAGGGCTCGCTGGGAGCCTGTCCACCTGTAGGCTGACAACCCCACAGTCCTCACGCCACCCGGAGGTGACCATGGGGACGGAGCTGGGCCAAAGGTGAGGGCAGTGGGCTGTGTCCACATTGCTGGCCTGGGGGGAGGCCGCTAGCATCTGCCTTCCGGGCCACCAAGCTCCCGGGTCCCCACGGCTCCTGCTGCCTGCCCCTCAGGTGGCAGTCCTTCGGGCCTGACAGGGTCCTTGCTCCCTGTGTGGACCGGCCTGGAAGTCTCACAAGACCACAGGATCCCAAACAAGCTTATCACACACTGCCTGCCCTGCCACCTCCCAGATCCACGTGTGAGGCCCATTCCCCGGGCCCACCACTCCCCTGCACCCCAGCAGCCAAGCCGTCCGTCACAGGAGAGCATGTGTCAGCCAGCGCCGGGCAGGATGTGCCTGGTGGCCGCTTCTGCCCTCGCTGTGGCCCCTCGGCAGGTCAAGTGGACCACCCTGTGGGTGGATGTCCTCTGCCCTTGGGGCCTGATGTGTGAGGTGGCCGACGTGCCAGGGAGAGGTCAGGCGTGGTGCCGTGCCCAGGCCCTCCCCTGGGTGGTTCTGAGAATCCTGACGAGCCATCTCTTTGGGCCACAGGCTTTGGTGAGAGGTTCTGCTGGTATTGGGCCGATGCTCTCCCCGCAGACCTCGTCCATGGGAGTCTGCCCCTGCTGCTGCCCACTGGGAGCCCTGAGTGCCTCTGCCCGAGCTGGGGAAGGGCTTATCCGAGCGAGAGGGGCAGACACTAAATTCTGGCTGGGCCCTGTCGGCTCTGGCCCTTCCTGCAAGGAGACGGGAGGGCCAAGTGCCTGCAGGGCTCTGTAGGGGGCAGCAAGGCACAGCCTGTGCCTGGCACTCCCCAACGGGCTGAGCTGGTGGACAGAGTTGGATGCTCACCATCAGCCACTCTGGCTCTCAGCCATGTTCAGGTGTTTCTTCCTTATTTGCGTAGCGGTCCAGTCGAGGATCTGGGGGTGGGGCAGGGCCCTCCCTGCTGCCCCTCCCTGCAGGGTTCTGGGGCCTCCTGGGGTGGGCATGGCTGTGCACATGTGAAAGCCGAGGCTTCTGAGGTAGAGGGACAGGCTGTGTGGGGGTTCAGGCCATGTGGACATGGCCCCTGGGGTGCCGGGCAGTGTCTGGGCTGGGCCCACACACGGCAGGCCAGGTGCCAGGAGGAGCCAGGAGGCCTGTGTACTGCAGCCCTGGGTCCCAGAAGAGCAGGTGCGGGCACTGGGTCTGGGGCCCGGTGGCCCCTGCTCCACCCAGCCTGCAGACAGGGGGCCCCATGCCTGGCCCAGGCAGGACTCAGCCCTCAACCTGCCCCCTGGGTTCACTTTTATGAAGCATTTTCTCCATTTTCGTCATCTTTCTTTTTTTTTTAATTAAATGAAGGTCTTGAAGGCAAGTGGAAAGCAGCTGGTTGTGACCCTAAAAGTTCCAGAGGGCCCTGCCTGCTTACAGAGGGCCTTGGGGATAGTGCCCTCACGGGAGTGGAGGGACAGGTGCAGTGTCACAGCCTGAGACCAGAAAGTCAGAAGCCACGTAGAGGGGCCCAGCTCGGGGGGAAGGGTGAGCCCGAGGGCCTCCCAGCAGGTCACCCAGAGCCTGCTCCCCAGGGGATGCTGCTGGTAGCACGCAGGCCAGGAAGCCCTGGGACACGTCTCCCAAGAGCGTGGCTGTGTGTGTGCATGCGTGTGGGGTGCAGAGCTGAGGGGTGCACCAGAGCCTCTGGCCTCATGCCACCCCCACCAGCTGAGCCCACAGCTGCATGTTCCCGCAGCTCTGCAGTCGATGCTCTGCAGGCCGTGCTGCTCCGAGGTGGCAATGAGGATGTGGTGCAGCGCATGGAGCTGGAGGGAGGCTGGGAGCTGCTCAGGACCTCAGCAGGGCATGAGGAGGGGGTCACCCGGCTGGCCAGGTAAGCAGGCTGCGCCACGCACACCAGCTCCAGCATTGGCTGAGCTCCAATAGGCCAGGTCCCGTTCAGGTACTGTCTAGGAGCCATGGGACCCACAGGAAGGCAGAGATGAAGACCCCCCCAGTGGCACATGAAGGGGACTGAACTGCCTGAGCCAGTGGGCCACGTGGGAAGTAGGCGCATGGGCCGTGCGGGCCGGCTTGGGGCCTCCGCCTGGCACTTGAAAGTGGGGAGGCCACGGAGGCAGCTGTGTGCTTCAGGTTGTGCTGTCGGGGGGAGAGGAGGCCCCTCTATGGAGGCCTGGAGGAGGGCTAGTCGGGGCGCAGCTGAGAGGAAGGATACGCGGGGTCTGGCAGCTGGTGGAGGAGCTCATGGGCCAGAGGGCTCTGACCACACAGGGTGGGAGGTGGATGTGCCCCTCGGGTCCATGTGGGAGTTGGCCGTGGGTGGGCTGGGGAGCAGCCCGAGGCCCCAGCCTCTGCACCATGTAGGCTCCTTCCCCAGCGCCATGGCAAAGTTTGCGGGCCCCCGGCTGCCCCTGGTGATGAAGGCACTCGTGTGCATACAGAGCAGCGTGTACGAGATCCAGAGGGTCACCTCCACAGCCTTCCTGGCCGAGGTAGGAACCACTTGCTCTGGAGCACTATTGGAGGACCAGCAGGGCAGGGTGAAGTCCTGTCCCACAGGCAGGCGCTGGCCTCCCCAGCCAGAGCCATCACCCAGCCCGAGCCCGGTGAAGGGAGGCCTCAGCTGTGTGCAACCTATGCGGGCCTGAAGCACTGCTGGGCCCTTGGTGGGGGCAGGCCGACAACCAAGGCCCCTAAGGCTCTCTTGGTGGCCTCTTGTGGTTGAGGATACCTAAAACCTGCCCAAGGCCATAGCAGTGGGGGCCAGGGTGGGGCTGGGGTCAGGAGTTGGGGAAGAGAAAGAAGGGAGGCCATGAGCCCAGCCTCTGCCCAGGGGACCCTCAACTGGCCTTTGCCATGTCCACTCTTCACAGCAACCTTGGACTGGGCCTGTCCAGTGGTACAGTGGTGGGGAGGGGGCTGGGGGCAGTGTTGCTGCACATCTAAGTGGGAGGTACCCTGGGCCTGGGCTGGCTGGGGTAGGGCGAGCCCCTGGGGGTCAGTGGGAGTGGGTGGTCCCAGCACCTTTGCTTCCAGCTGCTCAACAGCAATGTGGTGAACGACCTGATGCTTCTGGAGTCCCTGCTGAACAACCTGGTAGCCCGGCAGAAGGACACATGTGCCGGCGTACGGCGGCTGGTGCTCCGCGGCCTAGCCAACATTGCCTCCAGCTCCCCCGATAAGGTGAGCCAGCCAGCCAGCCACTCTGGGGCCCCGTCCATGGGAGATGGACAGGACAGCTGTGGTCAGCGGTGAGGAACCCAGGCAAACACGGGGCAGGTGGCGGGGATGTACGGGGAGACAGCTGGGCGTGTGGTGGCATGAGGAAGGGGCAAGTCTGCATGGTGAGGGCTGGGTTGTCCTGTGCCACAACGTGTGACAGGCACCAGGGCTCAGTGACCTGGGGACACAGCTGAGTGCAGGGCGTCCCCAGGTGCGGGCGCATGGACCCCAGCTCCTGACAGCCATGATCGGCGGGCTGGACGACGGGGACGACCGGCACAGCCTGGTGGCCCTGGAGGCCATGGCGGGCCTTGCAAGGCTGCTGGGCCTGGTGGAGCCCCAGGACCTGCGCCCTGTGCTGCTGCACGTCGCCATCCGCATCCGGCCCTTCTTTGACAGTGTAGGTTGGGTGGGGAGTGGGGGCACCCAACAGCCTGACACCCCCACCCCAGCCCGTTCCCTGGCCCTCCTGCCTCTTCCTCAAGAGCCTTGAGCCCCCTGGGTCCCATGAGCTGTGACCCCACACCTCACAGACAGATCATCTAGAGAGGAGCTGAGGGCCCCCAACACTCCCCCAACCCACGTGAGGGGTCTTTTCTCACCAGCCTCCCCATCACTGCTCCAGGGATCCCCGTCCTCCAAGCCCATGCCAGGCAAGGACAGCATCCAAGGCATGGAGAGGAGAAGGATGGCATAGGGAAAGGGCCCTGACGCCGACTAATGGGCGGGGCTGGGGAGGCCCCCGTGGGATGACACCTGCCACCCCCCGCCCCCAGGACAAGATGGAGTTCCGTTCTGCATCCATTTGCCTCTTTGGGCATCTCAACAAGGCCTGCCACGGGGACTGCGAGGACGTCTTCCTAGAGCAGGTCGTTGGTGGGCTGGCGCCCCTGCTGCTGCACCTGCGGGACCCCCAGGCTCCTGTGGCCGGTGTGAGTAGCCAGCGGGAGGGGGGTGTGGACCAGGCCAGGCTTAGGGCCTCAGGGACTCAGTGTTGTGCCCACAGGCCTGCAGATTTGCCCTGCGCATGTGTGGCCCCAACCTGGAGTGTGAAGAACTGGCGGCCGCCTTCCAGAAGCACCTGCAGGAGGGCCAGGGCCTGCACTTTGGTGAATTCCTCAACACCACCTGCAAGCACCTGGTGAGGGGCGGGCCGCACGGGTGGGCGCACACCTGTGTGGTGGTGGGGGGGGTGGCGGTCAGTGGGCTGATGGCCTCCCTGCAGATGCACCACTTCCCAGACCTGCTGGGCCGCCTGGTGAGCACTAGCCTGTTCTACTTCAAGAGCAGCTGGGAGGACGTCCGTGCCGCTGCCCCCATGCTCACGGGTGAGTGCCGCCTTCGGCCCCCCCCCCCCCCCCCCCCCCCCCCCCCCCCCCCGGCCCGTGCCTCACCCTGACCCTGACCCCAACCCCTGCCCACAGGGTTCCTGGTGCTGCATGTGGAGCCAGAGCACCGGCCGCAGGTGGACCTGGAGCAGCTCACTGCAGGTGAGCACCCCAACCAAGTCCTTGCACGCGCACCCCCACCACGTGGTCAGGGCCCAGAGCCCACCCCCCCCGCCCCCCCAACCTGCCAGGCTGCACAGGACCCTGCTGACCCTGTGGGCACCAGGGGGGACTAAGTGATTTTCCTGGATTTCAAGGATTTTTTCCCTGTCACTGGTGACCTCATCGTCTCTAGTAATTCACGGAAACTTCTTAACTGTTCCAAAAGAGCTTAAAAAACACTAAAAAAGGAAAAACTATCTTTCCGTTGGCTCCTGAGCCCTCCCGGCAGAGGCCTGTCTTAGGAGGGTGGTGAGCGGGCGGCCCCACGCACAGGGCGGGGGTGCACCATGGGGTCCTGGCCCCCCCCAAGCTCCGTGCGCTGCAAAGGGGCGGGAGCAGCCCTAGCCGCAGCTCGTTAGTGGGGTGTTGGAGGGAACCCCGGGCTCAGAGTCAGTTCTGAAAGGGCCACAGAGGCACCCCTGGCAGCAGCTCGCTGTCCCCCAGCGCTCCAGCTCCTGCTCCAGGACCCAGCCCCCGCGGTGCGCATGAAGGCTGCCGAGACTCTGGGCCGCCTGGTGAAGTTCGCCTGAGGCTCCCCCGATGGTGCTGCTGTTCCCACAAGCAATACCAGCCCAAGTCGGGTCTGGGCCCAAACCTCTGAGATGGGCCCTGAGGAGCCCCTTTCCCCGGGGCGGAGTGGGGAGCTGCCTGGGCCCCCCCGCTGCGGATCAAACACCTGCCCTCCTTGAGGAGGCTGCTGGAGGCCTAGCAGGACCGGGCAAGTCAGCGCCCCACCTCGTGCCAATAAAGCCATTTGCTCCTCAGCAGGTGATGTGGGTGCAATGATGTGGCGTTCCTTCTGGGACAGGGAAGCAGGGGCTTCCCAGCAGCCCCCCATCTGGGAAGACTGAGTGAGTGAGGTGAAGGCCCAGGCTGTGGTGAGCGTAGGTCATCAGGAACCCCGATTCAAGGTCACAGCACCAGTCAGTGGGGACAAATGCCTCTATTGAGGGTCCCGAGCACACGCACACCCTGGCCCCTTCCCTCCCCGGCCCCAGGGGAAGCAGGGCAGGGCAGCCTAGGTGAAGAGGCGGATGGTGCCGTCGGCACCCGAGGAGAAGACCCACGGCTGGGTGGGGTGGAAGGCCACGTCCAGCACGCCCAGGTCTCGGGCCAGCGTGTGCCCCCTCAGCACCTTCACGGGCACCAGCAGCGGGTTCTGCAGCAGGTCACTGTTGAGAAGGGGAAGGGAGGGGCTCAAGACACCGGCAGCACAGTCCCCACGGGGCAGGCAGGGTGGGCAGGGGTCCTCACTCACTTGTACACCATCCCGTGGCAGACAATGACGCTGCCATCGTCGGAGCCGGACGCGAAGAGTGGGTACCTGGGGTGGAAGGCCACAGCCCGCAGGGCCTTCTTGTGGTGCCTGGGGGGGGGGGGGAACCTGATTGAGAGCAGGCTCGGGAAGGGGGAGCAGCCGCCCACGCCAGCGCCTCACCTCAGCACCCTGTATGGCTGGGTGGAAAGGTCCAGGTCAAACCACACTAGCTTGCTGTCGTAGCTGCCACAGATGACGTTGTCACCTGCAGGCAGACAGGGTGGTAGGGACCTGACGGCCATGCCCAATGGGGTACACGCCCTACCTGTGGGGTGCAGCCCCACGCCCTCACCTGCGGGGTGCACTGCCAGGCTGGACACCCACTTGCAGTTCGGCATCAGCTTCTTGGTGAGCTCCTGGCGCAGCAGGTGGTAGAGGCGGACGCTGCGCTGGGAGGCCACGAGCAGAAAGGGCCGCACGGGGTGGAAGGCCACACACTGCACCTGTCCGTGGCTGCGGCGGAAGGGGCTCTGGCTACGGCGCCGGCTCAGCTGGTGGATCAGCACCTGGGTGTGGCCCGGGGTGGCCAGCACCACAGCCATGTAGTCCCCACGCCCGTGCCAGGTCACCTGCGTCACTGGCTGCAGGAGGGGACGTTGGCTGAGCTGGGCCCCGCTCCCCACACCAGCCTCCCCCACGTCCCCACACTGTATGGCCCCCACACCTTGCCATGGCGGATGCGCAGCCGCAGGCCCTCCTGGCGCTCCTCCTCTGAGGCTTCCAGCCAGTGGGTGGGCTGCAGGGCAGGCTCCTCAGGTGGGGTAAAGCCGCTCAGCAGCTGGTCTGTGCTGCCCACCACCAGCCGGTCCCCCAGGGCCGGGTTCAGCAGCAGGACTGTGTCCTCCCTGCAGGCCAGAGCCAGATGCAGTCCCTCAGACCGAGAGCTGCCCCCTGCTGCCACAGGCGCCCCCAGCCTCGCACTTACACTGCCATGGCCACCAGGCAGATAGTAGGGTTGGGGTTCCAGGCCACGCTCCTCACCACGCCCCCCACAGGCACGGTCCTCATGCAGCGGGCCGTGGCCACCTCCCAGAGCCGCACTGAGCCGTCATCGGAGCCTGGACAGAGCAGACAAGGACCCTCAGCACCTGGCCCTCCTGCCCAGCACCCCCTGCTGGGGCTGTCCCCACCTCAGGCCCACCTGAAGCCAGCCACTGGCCCCCCGGGGAGACGCTAAGGCAGCGGACAAGATCACCGTGACCCCTGTAAACCTGCAGAGAAGGCGAAGTGAGGAGATGGACAGGGAGAGGTGCACGCCCCCCACCCACCCCATCTGCTTACCAGGGCCTGGCATGTGGGGAAAGGCTGCAGGTCCCGTGGCCGGGGCAGCTTGGGGATGAGGTCTTCAGGGTCCACGTTCACCTAGGGCAGGAGAGCATGTGGTCACTCGGCTCCCAGCCCCATCCCCTTCCCAGGCGCTCTGCTGCCCCAAATACCCTCATCTTGCGCTGCCGCGGGCACAAGTAGAGATCGAGGCAGCGCTCGAAGCGCTCCTGGATGAAGCGGCTGTAGGCAGGCACCGCCCGCAGGCTCGGGAACTTGCGGGGCAGGAAGTTGAGCTTCCTCTCAGCCGGCTCCTGCTGCTCCCACGCCAGGCGCTGTGGAGACAGGGGTGAGCCAGGAGCACGAGGCTGGGAGCTGGAGCCCAGACCCCTACCCCAGACCAGGCCCACCTCCTCCTCGCTGGGCAGGTACTCAGGAGGTGGGTTGTAGGACTCGGCGTGGCCAGGCAGGGCCAGCTTGGGAGCAGGCACGTGCATCTTATGACGCCCCAGCACAGCGTTGGGGTCCTCCTGGGCCCACAGGTCGTAGAAGGTGGGGGTGGGGTGCCGGGGCCGGCGAGGCTGGATCCAGCCCATCTTGATGGCATGCACCATGCGAGAGACCTGCACACACAGGCCAGGTCAGGGCGAGGGAGAGGGGGCCGCGCCCTGGAGGACAGGGCTGCACCCACCTTCTCCTTCTCCACCAGGGATGGGATGAAGCTGCGCTTGTCGGCAGGTCGGTTGGTCACCGGGTGGATCATGAGGTCCCCACTGAAGAAGTCCACAGACGGCTGGGGGAACAAGCACAGGCCTGTGGGTCAGGGCCCTGCACATGTCCCCAGACCCCAGGGGCCAGCTGCTGCCACTTACCTCATACGGGTCAAAGCTCATGTCCCCAAACTGGCCCCTCTGCAGCCGCCGCACTAGGGCCACCTGCTCGTCTGTCAGCCGCACATCGCGACCCGTCATCCGGTCCTGTACCACGCGCCTGGGGTGGCCACCCATCAGAGTTGTGCTCGCACCCCACCCTGCAGGCCTTGCCCCACAGGCTGTGCCCCGAGCCCGCTCACCAGTAGTCAGGGTCGTCCATCTTGTCCAGAAACTGGTCCAGCTCGTCACGGGTACGCAGGGGCTTATAGATGCGCCTGCCGTCCAGGTCGTAGCCCACGTGGGGGAAGTCATCGTACCACTCCAGGGGCACGTTGCCCACCGTATTCCGGACATCCTGGGGCAGCAGGCCAGTGTGTCAGCACTGGACACCCACTGTACCCACCCCTCCCTTCAAGCCCCCCAGGAGACATAGACCAGCAGAGGGAGGCCGAGAGCAAAGGGACTGGCCTCGAGGCTAGCCGGGGCAGCACCAGGCACCCCGACACGTGCCTCTCCCTGGAGTGGGACGTGGCGCAGCGGCCGGCGCTGTCCTCCCACCCCCCCAGCCCTCAGAGGCGCCGGAGCTGTACCTTCACATTTTCCACTGAAGTGGTGCCAACCCCAGAGCCTCCCTCTAGATTCCTTGGCCAGGGCTCTGGGCAGCCACAGACAAGGGTGACCTCATCGCCCATGGGCTCCCTCCCCTGGTGGGGGCCTTAGGCAAAAGTAGGTAGCCACAGGCAGGGACTCAGGGAAGACCCTGCCAACCCACTCAAGGGGAGGCAGAATCCACTGCGTTCTGCCCTGTAGGCGCTCGAGGACCCCCCAGCCCCCCCGGTCCTGCCCCCCACCCCACCCCCGGCGGGCAGAGCAGCCACATTCCCGGACACACATTCCTGGTCAGGGCCCCTGCCAGCCACCACCCTCCCTCCGCCCAGCATGGAGACTGCTGCCCAGGCGGCCGCTTCCTGCAACAGTAGCCACAGGGGGAGGGGCCCCAATGAGACTGAGCACAGCTGGGAGCCTGAGGCCCCCCTTGCAGCAGGACAGGACCCCCGGGCTCTGCCCTTCTGCATCTGCCCCTCCCAAGACCTGCTGACTTCAGTCCTCCCAGCAGTACCCCCTGTGACCCTGCCCACTGCTAGGAATGCCTTCCCTTCTCCTCCGCCTTGGAGGAGTGTCTCCAGTGCCCCCCAAGTTTACAAGGCCATCCCTGAACTGGACAGACCCTGGAGGTCCCAGTGGCCAGGGGAAGAAGGCCCACAGGAGCACAGAGCAGGGTAATGGGGAGGTTTCCTCCAGAGAAGGGGGGGGCAGCATGAGCCGGCAGAGAGAAGGAGGGGTCCACGCAGAGAGCACAGCTTGTGCCAGACCTGGAGAGTACGGCTAATGCCAGAAGGGGGCAGGTGCAGGACAGACAGGCCATGCTACCGGGCAACACCACAGACAAATCTGGAGGGGGCAGCCGAGGGGTTTGGGGCTGAACTGCAGCCCCTTAATGCTCCTCTGTGCTCCCCCCTTCGCCTGGCACAGAAGGCCCAAGCGTACAGGAGAGGGAGAGACAGACAGGGTGTGGCCATGCACTGGGGCCAGGGCAGCTGGGTTAACTTGGTCATGCCAGGGCAGAAGGCCGGGTCATGAGTCCCACTTGACCCTTCTGCCTGTGCTGAGGTTGGGTGGGAGGGGGCTGCACAGCCGCAGCACCACCCAAACGGGGTCCCGCTTCCCCGGAGACAGCAAGATGCCCAGGCCCCTTTAGCGTGGCGGGAGAAGGCAAAGGGACGCAGGGCCCCTGCTCCGAGCGCCTCCAGGGGCCGGGAGGCGGGGAGGAGGGCGGGCCGACGGGGGGAGGGGCCGCCGCCGCTATAAAGGCCCAGCTCGCGGCCCCGCTCCAGCCCGGGACGCACACGTGCGCGCGG